CTTGCCCTGGATCCTGCTATGACTATGCCTAATTTTTTTCACCCCCATAACAACCACACTGACCTCCATCCTGGTCGTTCCAACTGTATGCTGCTCACTTTTGCTCTCTTGTCTGCCTTGAACATTTCCGTGCCCCCGCTCCCGCTCTTTACACATCCTCTGAGAGGCTTCCTCAATCTTCTTAGCCAGAATGGTGACCTCTTCTTCAGCAGACAGGTTAGAGAGGCAGCTGGCTTCTCCCCCAGGCTCCACCTCATATCTGACCAAACTATCACTCCCCTGCAGAGTTCCTGCCTCCACCTTCACAACTGCAGGAGGGAGAGGTTGGCATCATGGACAACGAGGTCTGTAAAATTTATTTCCAATCTCCAAACACCAGTAAATACTCTCTACATGAGGATATGCTGTGTGCCAGGGACCTCATTACCGGAAAGTCCATCTGCCGAGTAAGTAAGACCAGCTCCCTATCTTCAGTCAGGGCTATCTCTCCTCTCCTGTGGCATCTGTTTTCTCTCTCTCTCTCTCTCTCTCTCTCTCTCTCTCTCTCTCTCTCTCTCTCCTCAGCTTCTGTTTTTTTTTTTTTTTTATTTCTTACCCACCCCAGTTAGAAGTGTCAGAGCCAAAAGACAGAAGCCACTATAGAGTCCACTCCAGGGGTGGGCAAACTTTTTGACTCGAGGGCCACAATGGGTTCTTAAACTGGACTGGAGGGCCGGAACAAAAGCATGGATGGAGTGTTTGTGTGAACTAATATAAATTCAAAGTAAACATCATTACATAAAAGGGTACGGTCTTTTTGTTTTTTTAGTTTTATTCATTTCAAACGGGCCGGATCTGGCCCGTGGGCCGTAGTTTGCCCATGGCTGGTCCACTCCATCTGTTTTCTTCATTTTTTAAAAGAGCTTTGTTGAAGTACAGCATTCATAGGAAAGGGCACCATTTATAAGTGTGCCATCTGATGCATTTTAGAAACTGATACACTCCTGGAACCAGCACCCAAAGAGTCCTCCTTATACCCCTATCTTGTCAATTAACTCCCCCCAGCTAACCCTGGCCTGGCTTCTTAAGCACCATAAAATAGTGTCAGGGCTTCTATACATGGAATCATACAGGACATACTTTCACTGGGTCTCTTTCAGTCAGTGTTATGTTTGTAAGATTTATTCATCTGGTGTGTGGTTTATATTATCTTATTGCTGAATAGTGTTCCACTGTGTGAATATAGTATCACTTTATTTATCCATTCTAGTGTTGGTGGCATTTAGGTAGTTTCCACATGAGACCATTACAAATAGCACTCTGTGAACATCCTAGTGCATGTATATTGGTGCACATGGGTTCACACTTTGGTTGGGTATAACCTGGGAGCAGAATTACTGAGCCATATAATAGGTACATGGTCCTCTCAAAAATGCTGTAGGGCAGATTTCCAACCTGTGTGTATCAATTAGACTCCTACAGCAGGTAAAAGTTCAGGTTGCTCTACATTGCCACCAGTACTTTATGTGGTCCACAATTTTCATTCTAAACATTGCACGTGATTTTTAATTTGCATTTCTCTGGTGAATGATGAAGATAAGCATTTTTTATATGTGTATTACCTTTTTGTACAGTTTATATTCAAGTTTTTTGCCATTAGTTCTATGGGATCTTCTGTCTTTCCTATTGAATTGGCTATTATGGATTTATGTATTATGAATGTCTTCTCTCATTCTGTGCAATCTTTCCATTTTATGGTGGAGAAACTGAGGCAGAGAGAGGGAAGTAGATAGTCCAATGCAAGGTAGTGAGACCACAGTCAAACTTGGAGAAGCCATGCCCTCCTTTGGAACTGTGGCCACTACAGGCTTCCTCCTACAGTCTTCTCTCCCTCTCTTGCACCTTCTTTCCAGCTCTTTCTCTCTCTCCTTGGCCATCTCCAAACAGCTCAGATATATACTGCCATGATTCCCACCTTAAAACACCTTATGTGCATCTTCTCTCCTCCCCCAACCCCCTGCCCACTGTCCTGATTCTCAGACCACTGTCCCAGCAGGGCTCACCACAGGGCTGTTGGCTCTTGCCCTCTCTTGCTTTCACATTTCTCCTCACCTCAGCCCATCCCATGAAGCTTTTGTGCCCCTCTCTCTCTTTCATAGCGCTGCTATCCAACATCAGACCTCCTTCCCCTGTGGTGCTCAGCAGCATACCTTAGTGCTTCCCTCCGACTCCAAGGGTGGCTCTTCCTGTGTCTCATGCTCTCCTCCTCTTTCTGACCTCCACACACCAAGGAGCCACCACTCAGCACTCATTCTGGCTTCTTGTATTGCTCCATTTTTTTTTTTAGATGGAGATAAGGGTTAGATATTGCCAGTCCTGGGCCTAACCATTTCTTGTCTGTCTCCATAAACCCTTCTGCTACAGTAGTTCCCTGAATGGTCTCCCTCTGCTGATTCATGCCCTGCTACTGGCTGTGCTCACCCAGTCTCAGAACCATCCTACCATTCTTTTAGAATCTGTATCAGGTCACATAGCTTCCCTGCTAAGTGTCATTTAGTATTCTCTACACACACACACACACACACACACACACACACACACACCACTCATGAGGGCTAGCCCTTCCACTGCTCAACCTCCCCCACACCAAGCACAGTGGCTACCTCTGCCTGCACCTCACAGAGCCAGGTCTTGCTCATTCCTCCAGTCTTAGTTCAGAGAAGCTCTCTGATGGCCCAGTTAGAGCAGCCCTTTTCTATCCACTGGATGCTTTTGTTCCACATCTTGCATCTGAATATATGTGATATATTGTCTGTGTCTGTGTTGTATGCCACCTCTCTATGTCCTGCATATACAGGGTGCTCAGTCATGTTTATTCAACAGAAGGCTGGAGGGGTACTGTGTTTCTTTGGTTTCCACTTTTTGGCCTATAAGATAAAAGCATTATGCCTAACTGCCTTGAAGTCTTGCACTGGAGCCCCCAGAATTCTTCTAGAAGGCCAGTGGTTCTCAACCTTCTGGCCCTTTAAATATAGTTCCTCATGTTGTGACCCAACCATAAAATTATTTTCGTTGCTACTTCATAACTGTAATGTTGCTACTGTTATGAATCGTTATGTAAATATCTGATATGCAGAATGGTCTTAGGCAACCCCTGTGAAAGGGTCGTTCAACCGCCAAAAGGGTCACAACCCACAGGTTGAGAACCGCTGTCTTAGGCTGTCCTGCAATTCCAACCACCCTCCCACCTGGGCACGGGCATCCCCTCTTTTCCTCTGAGCATATCTAACAGATTAGCATTTTCTAAAGAAGCTCAACTAAGAAATTGAGAAAAAACTAGAGACCTTAATAAGGTAAAATCAAAGGCACAGGTGGGTTCAGTACCTGGCTGAGGATTTAGCCAGAGGTCTGCAGGCCAAGCCCCCAGGCCTGCCATAAGCTGCCCCTTGGAACCTCAGATGATACCTTCTCCCACATAGAACTGGGAGGGCAAGAGGGCTG